GATTATTTGACTTTAATGGCTATTGCTTATAATGTATACAAACTTAATTTTGCTGTTTGTGAATTCACACACATTTTATGAGTTAAATCAGGCTTTCAACATGATTTGATTATATCATGTATGTCTATAGGTTGAGTCTGAGTATGTTCCTTTGTATACCACCTATGGCCTTGGTCTCACCACATGGAGTCCACTTGCATCTGGGGTGCTCACTGGAAAATACAACAAAGGAAATGTACCTTCTGATAGCCGATTTGCTTTGGAAAATTACAAGGTAAGACTTGTTTGCTTTTTGTTATTTTATTACTGAATTTTCTAGTTGGTTTGTGTTGTCTTAAACTATAATGACAGACTTATTAGTTGGATACATGTCCAAATAAGAACTTAATTTTCAAAATTTTGTACACATAAATTATAATGTCTCTCTGTCTAACTTTCATCTTAAAATGAAGCAACTGTCTTAATGAATATGCTTCTTTGTTTTTATCTAATCTTTTTGGGTACAATTCTAAACTGTGTATTCTGTGTATTATGGCTTCCAGAATCTCGCTAGCAGGTCATTGGTTGATGATGTGTTAAAGAAGGTTAATGGATTGAAGCCGATTGCTGATGAACTAGGCGTGCCTTTATCTCAACTTGCAATTGCATGGTGTGCTGCAAATCCAAATGTCTCGTCAGTTATCACTGGTGCTACAAAGGAATCTCAGGTTTGTTTGGAAACAGTGATCCTAGGAACGTAGCTTTAAAATTGTATCTCTTGAAACATGTGCATTTATTTGAGTAATTTTCCAATTTTTCATTTGTGTTTATCTGATTATCAGTCAATTTCATTGAAGAGGGAAAGCTCATCCTGTTTTACATGCAAGAAAAGAATTTCTCTATTATGCTTCGTGGCTTTATTTATTTTTCAGCTGATTTATTGTTATAATTCATTACATAATGCTTAACCTGGATAATGTGCTAACTGGACATGGATAAAGTCAGAAAAAAAAAAAGAAGCATGGTTGGTGCGTTGAAGCACCAGATGCTCAACTTATGAAACATACCAAGTGCTTTGGACTTTCATCATCCATGCATTGTACAAGATGATTGCTTTATTAGTGACTTTGCCAATTCTATATTCTTTCCTCTTAATGTAGATTCAAGAAAACATGAAAGCTGTTGATGTGATCCCATTACTGACTCCTGCTGTGATGGAAAAGATTGAGGCTATTGTTCAAAGCAAGCCGAAACGTCCAGATTCATTTAGGTAAACTCTGAATCTGGATGTTACCATTCCGTTGTGCGCGCGTGCATCATGGAGCTAAATCAACATGTCTGGAAGTTATATTCCTTTGGCTTGGTACTAGTTATTATAATGTACTTTAACATTTATTTTCTCTCTGTTGATCCGAAATCCGCATTGGATTCTCGTTCATGGAATGGTTCCATTTGTTGCTGGATTGGAGGGTGGAGAACTGATGAGAATTGGCAAGAACTTGTGGTCTTAAGAGATTTCAGTACTGTTTTGTGTGGATGTTATATTTTGCTCTTTCAATTGTTCCTTTTTTCCCCTTCAATTTAATTTCAATGACCAGATTAAAATGATGCAATATATATATATAAACATAATTAAGGGGCAAATAATAGCGTGGTCGGCAGCTTGTTGCTTACATTGTGAGCCCCAGTTTTTGTAGGAAGTTTTTGTGCTTCCGGTCAAGTTAACCTGTGACAACAATCTCAAGCCTGATTGAACCTGAGCCAAAACTTGTGAGTTTTATGCCAAACAGTGGCAACTTGATTCAACGAAGTAGGTTCCTGCAAGTAGAACTTTAAGTGTGCATTACATATGCAGCCACAAAACCTCGAGATGGAAGAAGCCATGACAAGTTCTCAGTTTGGGGGGATACGGGGCAAAAGATTGATGCAACTTGCCTTCGATCTTGCTCTCGCCTTGATGAATGATGAATTTGTCCTCCATATTTCTAGTTTTGACTGGTGTCAAGATATTATCATTCCCAATGATCATGTTCGCTGCTTTCAAGAAGCTGGAACCTTGTCGGTTTGTGTTTTTTTTTTTTACTCCTTCGTTGAGCTTCTTCAATGGCAACACAATGGGTAGAAATAAAGCAACCATCAAGAAGCATCATTTCACAAAGCTCAAGCTCTTGTCCCAGCTTATTTTGGTGAAGCGACGACTATTCGACTAGTCTGCGTTGTGTGGGGTTTCGCTGCTTTTTCCTATTTGTGATTCACTAATCTGTTTTCAAGAATCGCTTTTTCGTAGAATTGATCAAAGACCAGGGTGGTGCTATCGGTACACTTCCGGTAGCGTTTGGTTAGATAGAAAAGATGCTCGGAATGAACGCTGCAATGTTGACGGTGATGGATGGCAATATCGTAAATATATCAGAATTCTTTATAATTTTGGGATTTGTCAATTTGATGTGATGAAGTTGTGTGAAATGACAAAAATGGTGTGCCGATAGCGTAATTAAAAAAAAGGAAAAATATGTCAACATACAAATATTTTTACTTGATTATAATATCAGGATAATCATATTTAAAGATAGAATAAATAAAATTATAAAGTTTAATTATTAGATAATTCAATATTGAAATATAAAAAAATAAAATAAAAAAAGCAACAAAAAAATCAGATTAAATCTAATTTAACTCGAGTTAACCCGCTAACCCAATCACTATGACTACAAGATTGGGATAACTAAATAGAAAGGAAAGGGGGGAAATCACGAAGATTAATTTTTAATAAATCAAATATTAAATATTGAAATTGAAATAAATAATATTTTAAAAAAAAGAAACAAAAAAAATTTAAAGTCAACCTACGTTAACCTTTAAAACTAATGAATTTGATCATGAATCCAAGATTAACTGATAAAAGGCAAACCAAAAAAAAAAAACTAAAAAAATTAGTTAAAAAAAAAAACAAGTAAAGCTCCGAAACCTATTCTAATCTCTAAAATTCTCAACTTAGGTTCAATCAAGAAATTTGATTCCTTGCCAAATTAATTTTAAAGAATGAAATTGTGAAAGAAATAATATCATTTTAAAAAACTTGTCAAAACAAAAAAGATAACAATAAAAAAAGAATGGAGATCAAATTTGATAAAACAAGAAAAACCAATGAAATTGAAAAAAAAATATTTCAAACAAAACAACAATCTATTAAAAGAATGTCACATCAATTTGAAAGAATTAAAAATAAAAAGGGATGAAATTAAAAACTATTTATAATTTCATAAATTATTCAAAATAAAAAAAATAGTAATTAATATAACATGGACCAAATGTGGAGGAAAAAGAAATTGAAGGAACTGGTCTAAAATTTTAAAAGGTTTGGTGCAGAATATAAAGATGAAAAAGAGAAGAAAAGGAAAAAGAAAAGAAATAATTGTCAGACCAAACCAAAAATATATTTGGCATACGTATTATCCTATCGCAAAGAAGATATTAAAACCTTTCAAACATTATTGTGGAAGGCTGTATTTGATATCCCCCAAGCATCACTCGAAAGGTATGAGGATCGCTTAGCTGCTAGCGTTTACTACACGCAAACAACATGTTTTTTTTTTAAATAGTATTTATTACATGGTCAAATACAATAATATCCTTAAGTAACCTTCATATTAATAATAAAACTAATGTAAAATGATAAAAAAAAAATCTTTGTTAAGAGCTATGTTGATTTTATCTTTAAGAATAGCAAAATAATTCTACTATTTAAAAAAAAATTAGAAGAAGATAACATTATAATTTTTTTATTTTACAGTTAAATTAATAATTTTACTATATAAAAAAATAAAATTATTAACCTAACCTCGCATCAATTATTAAAAACAATTGTATCATAATAAAAAAAAAAAATCATCTTACTTTCTATGTCTAGCTCTGAGATTTTTTTTTTATTAGAGGCAATATTGCTAATTTACTATCCGAATGAATAGTAATTTGTTACATGAAAACCTATTTCTCTTTTAATATTTTAATTTAATTTAATTAATTTAATAGTTTACGGTTCGGTTGGCGCTCTCCCTCCCCATATTTTTTTTGTCCACGTTATTTTAAGCTCTCTGTCTTAGTTTCCTTTTTAAACTCCGTCTCTCATGCAATGCTCTCTCTTTCTCCTTCATATCCTCACAACTCAATTTCATACTCCATTTTTTCTCTTCTGCCTTTCTCCTGTTCTTCAATGGAACAATCTCCATTGCTTTACATGTTCACATAAAACTGCGAATTTCAACAAACAAGAAGGTACCCATTTCAGTACTATTCTTCTCCTTCATGTACAGTTTAATTAATGTTTTCGGCACATTTAAATCTTGTAGGAAATGTTCTGAATCTTTTTTTGTTCATTTCCCTTTATTTATCTATGTGAATTATGCATGCATTCATTAATGATGATATATATTGATTGTTTGATTGAATTGGTTCTTTGTTTGATTGATTGATTCATCGTGTTAGAATGGTTGAATTTTAATATTGTTTAATGGATGATTATGCATGAAAGATCAATGTGAATTGTGGTACATTGATTTTCTTCTGGATTTAGCAAGATTTGTAACATCAAGTGGAATTAATGGTAGATACACATTTTTTATGACATTTGTTAGCTGGTAGTGAAGAAAGGGAATTTGTGTATTTGCATTATATGATGCTGCTAGCATCCCACAGTTTTTTTCTTTCCTGTAAGATGACAATCAGTTTCTATTGAGAAAATAAGCACTGGATGTTATTTATTTCTTGCACAGGACTGTGAGTGCTATAATCTGGTCCAGTTTCGAGTTCAGTAGGAATTTGGAAGAGCATCGAGGAAGCAAGGCCTAAGAGGCCGGTGAATATTCATATGCAGCTTTATTTAAGGTGATTTCTTTATCTTTTATACCATGACTCGTGAAACGCCTGGTAGCTCAGGCCAGAAGCTCTTTGGAGACAAAATCAAAGTTGTGGCTAGTGACAGAATTGCTGCAGATAGAAATGCAAATAATATTTGTGTACAGACAGGTGAGGAATTTTCTCCCCAATTTGCTCGAAGAAGAGTTCCAGAACTGCACGAGCTCGGGAAAATGGGATTCAATCATAATCACAATAATCTGATGGGTTCTGAAAATCATACCAGCACTCGTGGGATAAGGAAAAAGGAGTCTGATTGTGATGCTTTAGGTTATATTTCCAGGATAGAAGCCACAGGACATGCTGCTGAACTAGAAAATAAGGCTTATAATGATGATACAGGCAGATACCACTGGGAATATGCCCCCGATGCACAAAAACCAAGTAACTATGTTGATGAAACGAGTAATTATGGTCAAGTAACCTTATGTCCAAGTCCAACCAATCCGCCTAAATGTGTGCAGGAACCCCCTTGGCCATATCAGCCTTCTGTAACTAGAGTTTCAGAAAGCACTTTCTCAGGAAAAATGAAATTTCTATGCAGCTTTGGGGGAAGGATATTACCGAGGCCAAATGATGGGAAGCTTAGATATGTGGGTGGAGAAACGAGGATCATATCCATCAGAAAAAATGTTACATGGGGAGAGCTTGCAAAGAAAACTTTGGCAATTTGTGGCCATCCTCATACGATCAAGTACCAGCTCCCTGGCGAGGATCTTGATGCGCTTATTTCTGTTTCTTCTGATGAAGATCTTTATCACATGATAGAGGAATATCAAGAGCTTGAAAGAAATGAAGGCACTCAAAGACTGCGGATATTTCTTGTTTCTTCAGGTGAACCTGACAGCCCAAATTCTTTTGAAGGTAAGACCTCACAACAGCGTAATGCTGATTACCAGTATGCTGTCGCTGTTAATAGTATGTTGGACCTCAGTTCCCAGAAGAGCTCTAGTGGACAGAGTTCTGCAAGCCATCAAGGAACTGCTTCAGATTATAAGAATCTATCTCCTCCTGTAACTCCACTTAACATTCAGTACAGAGATCATAAGAACTCTAAAGGCCTATTTTATGTTGATCAATCCTTCCCTGACAATAATAGGAAACGCGGTGCTTTTTCGGAAGAGAAATTTCCATCTGACACTACATATTATAATAATCTTCCTCGTGTGCTGATGCCATTGGTGAATCAAGCCTGTCATCAACAATATCCAGTTGAAACTGATCAGACTAGCAAACAATTAGAAATGCATCTTCATAATCGTTGCGAAAGTGGAGATTTTCTTCCTTATCAGCTATGTCCTCAAAATTCTATCAATTCAGACTGGCCTTCGATTATGGAAGGGGCATTTTGTGACTCACGGTTGCGGGAGAATGGTGAGGTGTCAAAAAAATGGTTGGAAGAAGCCGTTATTACACTGTCCCTGTGCAATAATGAAGGGGAAAAATCACCTTCACTGAGAATGTCAAATTCATCCTCAGAAAGGCCAATGCTGTGGCCATATATAATGGATGAGAAACACCAATTCACTGACTTCGAGAACCTTTGCAGAGAAAAGCTGGGTAATATTGACACTGATGTAGAGGTGCTGAAGTGGATGGACAGGAATGTTAACTATTCTGATGTAGACAGAGAACAGAACGAAGGAAATGTTAAAGCTTCATCAAATGACAATGTCACCGAGCATAGGAACTTGCCGAATTTGAAATACCCTCCAATTGCTTATCATCATCCTCAGGATTCTCAAGCATATGCAAGGGTGGTTTCTGCTACTCGAGTTTACCCTTTAGAAAATTCTGCAGAAATTGCGAGGGAGAACCCTCAGGGTCACCAATCAGGCACCAAAGCACCTTACTTGTTTGTTGAGAACCAAAAGGTTTCCAAGGATCAGCAGTGTGCTATGACTGAGAGCATCAGGGGTCAACAAATTTCCCATGGAGATCCTGAATATCTACATTCTGCATCCCTTGAATCAAGAGACAAGAAACCATATGTCCTTAGCTCTGTAAGTATAGCTCTCTCCATAGCAAGATTTTGCCAATCTGAACTAGAACTTGCAAAATAATAATAATAATAATAATCCTCTGATTTCTAAATATCTATTCAGAAATTGGATAGGAGTGCTTCAACTAGATTTGTTTCCTTGTGTGATGAAGACCCCGTGGAGTATCCTGAAAAGATCGAAAAGATTCATGACAGGGGACAATCATACGATGAACCATTGGACAGAGATGCTCAGTTTGTCCAGTCACAGCCCTTAGATGACCATTATGATGATAAGATGCTGGAGCCAGAGGTAATTGTTGAGGATGTTACTGGAACTACGCCTCCCGATATTCCTTTGTCTTTGAATGTTGTCCCCCGTGTAGAGGAAGAGGTCACAGAGGGATTTCAATCTGATAGAGATACCGAGGCAGAAAGCACTTGTCAAGATCAAGAATATGAATCTGAGGTAACTTGTATCCTTCAGATTTGGACTCTCTGTGTGCATGATATTTCATTTTCTAGTCTATTTTACTCTTTACCCCGTGTGTTCTTAGGATATTGAAGATTCTGATAGAGACACAAATGATTCCATTAGTGATGCTGCGATGGCTGAAATCGAAGCAGGCATCTATCATTTGCAGGTTCAGATATAACATCTCATAAGTTACACATCTTTATTTTTTTATTCATAATTCAAAAAAACATTCCTTTAGCACTTTCATGCCTGGGCTGCAATGTTAATATGTATGAGGTTCCATTTCGCCCAATCGTTGAGGGATGCTTTTAGCCCCCATTGCCAGTTCCAGCTGCTTTCGCACAAAGCTTCACTTCAGTGAAAAACAAGCCTGTGCTTCGAAGCCTCTACTAGTTCAAATGTGAACTGATTCCCATTGCTTTTTTATTAATTTCTTCTCATGATTTCAACTCTCTACGATCATTTAGATGGTGCATGCTTACGGCTGCAAATGCAGTATGAGAATTTTATTGTTTGTTTTAGATGCGTTTTCTTTAACAACTGACTTTTTTGTGGCCTAGGTGATTTTTTTTTCTTCTTTTTTTAGAGGATAAATCAACTTTTTCTGATAATATAAAGGATAAATTAACTCAACGTTTTATGCTCTTACCATGCAGATTATAAAGTACGCGGATATTGAAGAAGTGCAAGAATTGGGATCTGGCACGTTTGGAACTGTTTATTATGGGAAATGGAGGGGAAGTGATGTTGCTATTAAAAGAATCAAAAGGAGTTGTTTTTCAGGAAATTCATCAGAACAAGAGCGATTGGTTAGTCCCTGTAATTATCAGTTTCAGAACAATTGCACGCCCTTCATGTTTTCTTTCACTTGATAATGGAGGGCTGTTCATGCCAAAAAAATACATGTAGGGGTCCAAAGTGTCATAAAATAAAGAAGGAAAAAACGAAGACCAAATAACTCATAGGGAAAAGGGAGGATCCACTGTGAATGAATGGGAAGATAACTATTTGTTGAATTGGATAGTGATAGATATATTAGCAACCGGATTTCATGGTAGATATGTTTAAGAATCTCTCTGACTATTCTGAGTAAAAATATAATTAATCCTGCCTGTTTGTGCAGACTAGAGACTTCTGGAGAGAGGCTCGCATCCTGTCAGATCTTCACCATCCAAATGTGTTGGCATTTTACGGCGTAGTCCCTGATGGGCCTGGGGGAACAATGGCCACTGTGACTGAATATATGGTGAACGGATCATTGAGGCGCGTCCTACGAAAGAAGGATAGGTGAGTTGGTAGCTCAAAAATATTTTACTTCCTAGTGCCATCTATCATGAAATATGCTATAGCTCATGGAATCTCTCTTCACTGCACAGAGCACTAGATCGTCGAAAAAAACTTATAATTGCTCTGGATGCTGCTTTTGGCATGGAATATCTGCATTTGAGAGATATCATTCATTTTGATTTGAAGTGCGACAATTTGCTTGTCAATTTAAAGGATCCCCAGCGACCCATATGCAAGGTAATGTTCGCCGAATCCTTCTCTCTATCCATCCTTTATTTTTCTGTTGTCTTTTGGTAGTTTTGAATCTATATCAAGCATGCTTTTCATCTTTCAATAGAGTTCCTCTCAGCTTTATTCACTCCACATTCTGTATCAAAGTGTAGTCTCATTCATCTATGTATGTTACCTTTTCTCCAGGTTGGAGATTTTGGATTGTCAAAAATCAAACGGAATACGCTCGTATCTGGTGGTGTGCGTGGAACCCTTCCATGGATGGCACCGGAGTTATTGGATGGCAACAGCAACCGAGTCTCTGAGAAGGTTAGCACTATACTAGACTTTCTTTGTCATGGGATTTAGAGTGAATCATGAACTTTCTATATCCTCCCTTTACAGGTTGATGTCTTCTCGTTTGGTATTGCAATGTGGGAGATCCTGACTGGTGAAGAGCCATATGCCAACATGCAATTCGGTGCTATAATAGGTCAGGTTTTAATTGATTGATGAAATTGGTTTTAATTGTCAAGTTCCTTCTGTTTTTCCTTACACTTCGTCTAATTTGAATTAGAGCCTGCTGTGCTATTTCCTTTTCTCATTGATTTTTGAAAATGGCCTTCTTCTTCGTTTAAAATCTAAATTCACGACACTGTCTTTCACGGTTTGAATCAATCCTTCACGCATGCACAAATCTGATTCCTTTCCTGAAAAGCTAATTATGCTTGAAAATAAACTGTGTGTCGGTCTATGCCATATTCGTAGCTGATGGTTTAGCACATCAGCTTGTCACTGTTTCATGTTCTTTTTTTTCTGATTTTCGCAAAGGATCTAACCATTGTGAACTTTGAATGAAGGCGGAATTGTAAGTAACACTCTGAGACCTCGTATACCAGAAAATTGTGATGCTGGATGGCGAATGCTGATGGAAGAATGCTGGGCGTTCGATCCACAAGCCAGACCATCATTCACAGAGATAACGAATAGGCTGCGAGTTATGTCAACAGCAATCCAGCCAAAGCGACACAATCATGCAAATAGATGAAGCCCTCCTACGTCAAATCATACAAACACGTTCGCATGCCAAAAACATTTAGCAGGTCAATGCTGTTGAGTTCTCGAGTGGCTTCTATGTGAGCCATCGTTGTAGATAAAAATCCTTGGAGGCCAAAAAGAAAGTAAGAATATGATCGATACTTTTGTTCCAGACTTTGGGGCTGAATCCTTGACTCTCCAGCCAGTCACGGCTGATGACGAAAAGCTACCTTCACAATTAAGTATGGAGCCAGAAATTTTTTTGTATTAAATAAATATATAAATTTTTTTAAGATAAATTATTAATTTATGTATATGTATATGAATTTTTA